TCCATTTCTCCTTGCTGTAACCACCAGGCTTTTTTTAGTTCTCATTCTCTCCAAATGGGTCTACTTACAGGTCATTTTTGGTACAGTTGTAGGATGAATATTGTACGTAATAGGTCATTCCAAGTGTAGAATATTAATATGATGTCAAAGCCATGTCAAAAGCTTGATTTAGACCAAAGCTGATTTTATTCTTGCCACAGAGAGGGTGCAATAAGAATTTTCTCTAGGAGAAATGGCAACTGAAACTTTCAGTTGGAATATTGCCTTCTATTATTAAATAAATTGTGTGATTTGGCAATTTTCAAATATCTGTCTTGCTGTGGTGGTTTTGAAATTCATGCAGATTTCGATCTCATGTCTGTGACATATCGCTCACATATATAAAGCTGGTAATCTTGACATGAAAGCATTTTGAAAGACTTTTTGCAGACATCATTATTTAGATCTGGCCCTTGATGTTTTTTTCTCCTTTTTCAATAGGCATGAGGGGCATGATATTATATGTGACCAAAGTAACATACAAGGTGTGATCTTTAAACAGCTAAATTCATAACCAACTGAAGTACTTGCAGCAGAAATTAAACAGCAATAGGTTTATTGTGTACATGCACAAGTGCACTTGCTTTTCCTGATTGTGCAAGGCCTGTTGGCTTTGTACTTGATTTATTAGATCTGTTTAAACTGTGACAGATGTGTGCCTTTTAATAATCGGTTTTTAAATGTCATTGGATTGACTTGTAGCTTATACTTCACATGAACGATCTGCAGTGATATGACAGATTACTTCCCCATTATGATAGACCTTCCTAGGAGATATGAAATGTAAGTGGCTATTGCTTACCTATGAGGTTTGAAGGGAAATTGATGTGTCTGTTTCAGTGTGACAAGGCCTGTCATGTGCTTTGGGGAAGGAGCTGGTGCCAACATCTTGGCAAGATTTGCTGTAAGTACTGAACTGAGTGCCCAGTACTGTGGGTCTTTATTATACAGTGTCTTTATTATATTATGTTGCTCAAATCTTCTTGTTAGTTACATAGTGGACCAACTGGTTGGTTGCCTAGTTGCACACTAATTTTTATGATTGCTAGGATAATTGCCTGTGGGTATAAAAGAAACGTATGTAAGAAGAAGAGTATTAATGAGAATGCTTCCTAAAGTACCAGTCGTACATAATTTGATTCTGCTGCTAAATATGTGGTCAATAAATGGCTCTACTGTAACTCCCTTTTTTCACCCACAGATACATAGGAGCTAAGAAACATTGATTTCTGCTTGTGCTTTTATATAAAGAAGACAGATAATATTGGCCTGTTATTCTTAACTCCTGATTTGATTATGGATGTTAAGAGTACCTACAATCTGTTTTTGTTTGCATTCCAGATCTGTCACCCCATGAAAGTGCATGGACTATGTTTGATTCACTGCACTGGAACCACTGCAGGGATAATGGAGACCATGAAAGATAAAGTAATTAAACAATATACACTAAACCCTACTGTGCAACATTCTCACTGTGGAAACTAGCAGTCTACTTGAGATTTCAGCAGAGATTGTTAACAAAGATTTATTGGTATTTGGTTGTGACAGAACCTGAAAATATAGAATGTAATGGCCAGTGTGGTAGTCTTACAATATTAGCTGATGGAACTAATACTATTTCTAGTTTCGTTGTTAAGTTCCCTAAAACAAATTTTTACAATTTTGATTTACATGCATGGTGGGAATCGCTGTTAAAATACAACTTAGTCTCAGAGTTGAAACTAAACTCAAATTACAGCAGACTTCACAGGGAAGGAACAAACTGATAAAACTGATCAAATTTGTGTCTGATTTCCCATTTTCTAGGTGATGCAGTGGAAGCTAGATCATTTTGGCATGACCCCCTCTACTGCAGCCTACCTTGTCATGCACAGATTTGGATCGGTGGGTATTGCTACTTGATATTTCTGACATTTATCATTTTGCCAGGTAGTCCATCATTACTTTGTATCTGAACTTGCTGTTGGCAGGTACAATTATCCCCTGTTTTTGCTTAAAGTGCATGAATGTGTCAGATAGTAAGAAAAGGAGGGGGGAGGGGGTGAACAAAAATGGCAGAGTCAGCAGTTTGGGATATTGGTCTTGTAAGCCATTTTGATACATTAATTTTATTTCTTAGATATTACAAAATTGCCTCCCAAAAATATTACTAATTCCGTAATTCCAAAAAAAAACTTTCTTAACCCAACCCTAAGAAACTATGGGAAATACTGGTGCATCTCTACGTTTTTGAGTGAGCAACCAGTGTAGGGTCATTTCCATGGGCTCTTTTTAGATATCGACTTTTTTTCAGTTATATCAGATCACGTTTACCTTGAAGAGTTATTAAAATGAAGTGGAAGTAGGTACCTTTGATTGTGTAGGGGAGGTATGCCATCTCTGTCTTAAAGGTCTCCATCTCTTATTAAACATTTTTAGTTCCTTATTTTGATAGACCTGGCAGCAAGAAGGGAAGAAGGTATGTAGGGGTTGTGTTAATGTATACCTTCCTGCTTTGGCAGCAAAATGCCTGGGCTCTGAAAGCAGATGACTTGAGAAACTTTCCAGGGTGTGTTTGTTTAGACTAGTCCACTGACTGATAGCTTGACCTTTTCTTGCAGTTCATACCTGTGCAATTTCACTGAGAAATTGGAGATTGTTGAATGAAATGGACTTTAGAAACATCAGAATTATGTATTGCACTATGTAATTGTCAGTATCAAGTTTATCAGTCAATATCCATCAGAGGTCCATCCAGAGATACACAGAAGTAATGGGTATCACATGCTAGTGTCTGGGTGAACCCTGCTTGGAGCTTCATGGTCATATATTGATATGTCTTATAACTGCAAAAAAACCTTTGTTGTGTCTTCACATGCTCTTCTCTATTTTCTGTGCTTTCATATATAGACAGCACAAGAGGTAGGTGGTGGCGATCAGGGCATGATTGAAGATGGATGTTCAATGTATATATTGATATATCTTGTAGATTTTTGAAGCACCCTTTAGATTATAGACACCCTTTGATTTTATGCTTAATGTTACTTCTTACGTCAGGCTGTTGCTGGAGTCTGGCTTTCCCAGTTCTGAAAGGCTTTCAAAACATTTTAGTTACCAGATTGATATTTTGCATGTAGCTTATGTAATAGCATGCCTTAAAGTTAGAGTTTGTTTTTACGGGCTCTCAGTTAATTATTTATTTGTTATCAATTAATTTTTATTGTTATTATTAATTAGATTTAGCATTAGCCTTTTTGATCCAAGGGTTATTTTGTTAAATGACCTCGGTGGTCCAGCGCACTTTCTCTCTCAGAGCTCCCTTGAAGTGAATGTTACCTGAAAAATCAGGTCTAGTTCACTTGCTGCCTGTGTATTATAAAAGAAAAAAATGTTTTGATCACAGACTCTTAATGGAAAAGTCCACCTTCCAGCATTGGACACAAGTTTATATTTTTGTTAGACCATATTTTTGTAAAATTTGTTAAAATGTTGAAGGGCAGTACTTTCCTGTTGTGAACTGTAGGTGTTTTATTGCCTACAATTATTTGACTTGAGTGCATTAGCTTTGTCTTTTTATGTACAGACACATTGTCATCACCTTCAGTGTTGCTGTGCTCTTTTCATTGTTAATGCAATTTTTGGAAAATTCACTTGATTAATTATCCTCACTGGAGTGATTTATGGCACTAGAATACAGGTCAAGTTTGAATAACAGTTTTACTGAATTATTTTTCCTGAAGTTATGAAGATGGTGGTGATTATGCTGTTTAATCTTATGTTATATTGCATCAAAATCAGCAAAAACCCTATTTTGTGCACTCTAAAAAGAAGTCTTCAAATAAAATGGTGTCATTTATTATTCTCTAACTTACAAGAATAATTCTTGGATCTATAATATATATCAAATTGGAATATGAGCTTCATTAATTCTTCTCCATGAGGTTATGCATCTTTAATGAAATTTTCATTTGTCACAAATTGGCATTTTCATTGTGTAACTTTGAAGTCTCATTGGCCTGAGGCACAATGTTATTTACATTTTCTGGATGTCCATTTTATCTGAAGCACATAAATTAAAATGGGCAGTGATTATGCTGTTAAGCATTATGTAATATTGTGTCAGAATTGACAAAAAAAAGTGTCTTGTGTATTAGCATCATAATTTTCTTTGTGTCTGTACTTTTCACAGCTTTACTGCCTTGTTTCTCCAACATTGTTGATAAAATATGAAAGAAGGGTAGCAAAATATGTCTATCTCCACTATTCAGTAGGTATGCTCAGTTCCTTAGAGTGATTTGATGCCCATTTAGTGCTTTTATTCAGCCTGTTCCGTACACAAAGCTGGATTGTGGCATCGGCTATTATTATACTTATACCATATTACTATGTGTGGCTCTGTATATATGCTGCATCCCGCTTGTAGATGTTTTCTTTTTCTGTGGAAATGACTTTTAAAGTATGTTCAGATCAAATTGCCAATCTCAACTCAAAAGAATTCATAGGTTTTATTTTTGAATGAGGATTTTCTGTCATTTTTCCCTCATTTACAAATACAATTTAATGACCTATAAACGAATAAGCCATTCACATTCTTGACCTTCCTGTTTGTGATTACGTAGATGTATGTCTGATTAACAACTCAAATGGCTATATCATGCTTATCCAAATCTGACCTTTGACCTACTTTTCATCATCAAATGTACTTTGCAAATGTTCTAGCCATAATGTCTCCAAAACTAGAATTGCAACCCTCTAGTTACTTGGGGTGGATCCAGAGATATTTTCTGACAGGCTTCCATATTATCTTTATTGATCCATCCTCCTTTTTTGACCGTCTTCGGACATAAAAAATTAGATACCAGTCTAAATCTGCCCTGGTTACTATTGAACTTGAATAGGAAACCATTCATTAAGAATCAAAATTTGACCTCGAGTTTCATCTTTGACCTACTTTTTACCATGAAATGCAGTTTCAAAATTTTCTAGACCTTACATATTTCTAATGTAGGAGACATTCAACCTTACTTACGATTTACTTAATTCTGAAATTGTGCATTGAGAATAAAAACGTGACCCTGTATTTGACTTTTGACCTACTCTCCACCATGAAGAGCACTTTTCAAAATTTTAAAGACTTTTTGTAATGTAGAAGAGAACTGAAATGCACTTAATCCTGCTGGTGGTGCACAACCTGGTGGCAATGCCACCACTCTTTTTGCAGTATTTATCATTTTGACAAATATAAAGACTCTGTTAAAGACAAGTTTATACCATGTATATTTGTGTAATGAGTATGATTTTCTGATGATTATATTTCGTGTGATATTTTAGAATATGTTTGCTTTTATAACATATAAAAGCAGTATATGGTTTGATACGGGTGTTGCAGTGCAACAAAATCAATTGTGTCAGATTTGACAGTGATCTCTTACAGTAATCATCCCACTTATTTGAAGTACATAGATTGATTATGACAATATTTTATTTGAAATGCTTCGAAGAGTTAACAAAAAGGGAGTTGGAGTCATGCTTGCAAAAACTTGCAAGAAACTATAAAAAAAGAAAAATGGTGCAATTACTGTATTGCGCCATATATCAAGATATCACTCATATATTTACAATGTATTCTTACTTTCAAGATCACACTTTAAAATCAACATTAATTTTGCAGTTTGAGGCTGTTGATAAGCAGATGGAGCAAATTGTAGAAGACTTCCGGAATAAACTTAAGAAGGAGGTGAACCCAAAGAATCTGACCAAATTTGTGGATTCTTTTATGAAGTAAGAATTAATGGCATACAGTCACCATTAGAATGTTGATTAAGAAACTCTGATGATACCTCTGTTGCAGCAGCAGCAAATTGCTGTAGATATAACACAACATCTGTATACTTATGCCGCTGTAAATTAAAGATAGGTTTGTTCCTAGTAATGCATATAAACCACTTCTACTTGTTTCTAATATGGCTCAACATGCCAAGAGATAAACCCAGTTTATCACATATCAAATGGTTTATATGTGTTACTGGAACTTAACATTTTCATTGATACTTTTTATGCTGTTATTATGAAGATTATTTACAATAATTATACACATAGGACCCAGGCATTGTCATAGATATGTAGGGATTGGGGTCCCTGAGGGTGAGCTACTCTTTACAGTGTGGAGAAGTGTAGGGATTTGGTTTGACTACCCAGTGAAACCATGTAGTTATGAATTATTATGAGGTTAGATATAAAATAAATGTTTATGTGACATGAAGATTATTTAACAAGGTTTGCATTTCTGTCTTAATGTGTTTTTATGATTACACTTGGTGTATTTTTTTTTTCTTTTCAGACGTTCGGAACTCTTGCCAGACCTTAAAAACATAACGTTTGTATTACACTTTTGCTCTAGTTTATAAACCCCTGAGAAACAAAAAATGGCTTTTCATATAATACAAATTTGGTTCAAAACCTTAGCAGTCATTGCTGAGACTTAATTTTGACTGGTATTTTTGTTTGAAGTAACCTTTTTGTACTTGCAGAGTGTCCCTACTTTGCCCAAAATTATGCTTACCACAATTAACTATTTGATTTGTTTACTTATAAAATGTGAACAAGGATTTGCCATGATTTTATGTAAAATGCTATTTTTCATCATTTGTGAAATGTATTGGAAATTATAGATGTGGGAATGACAGTATTACATTATATAGAAAATACATGTAGTATTAGAATATTTTATGTTAAACAATACCTTAAAAGTAACCACTAATATTCTTAATTCTTTAGCTGCTTTGTGTTGCTGGTGACAGGGGAGAAGGCCTCCTTTAATCATACATGCAAAACCCTAGAGGTGAATTTTAGGAAAAGCATTGAAAACAAGAAAAAACTGGAGTCACTGGAAGTTGAAGGTGTAGCTAATGTTATTGTGGAGAGAGTAAGTAAAAGTTGTCACATCAGTATACAACATAGTACAACTGACTCTAACTTGCAATTGTACCATTTTACTAAAATGTTTGAAGCTTGATTCATGCACAAATAGACTTGTAACCATGAACAGATACGAACAAGAAAAATACTTTAAATTGTAGAGACATTTTTTACAAGAGAAATTTGCAGATTCATTCAGGAAAGTGGAATAGCACATGGGAATAAAAATTAATCTAATACTGAACAAAAGAAAAAAAAGAATAACACAGCAATGTTCCAAAGTTACGATCAGATCACAAGTCTTCAACAGAGAAATGAGAGTCAGTGATTCAGTGGGGTGGTCACGTAGATGGGATTATTTATATGGGATAATGGGATCTTGCATCAAGAGCAGTTTTGAAATAATGAGTGGATAAGTGTACTGAGTACAGTACAATGTATTGATTGGTATTTATCTTCTTGTTTCAATTCTTTGCAGCCTGAGAAACTCGCAGAGGCCTTCTTATACTTCATGCAAGGTGCAGGTTTAGGTAAGTGTCTGTAAGACGGTTATAAAGGATGAGTTTTATTGGTTTTGCTTGCTCAACTTCGTGCAGCCTAAACTTTGTGAGTATTCTTACTGCACTATTCCATGCTTGTGATTTAATGCCACTAATGCATCTTTTGCGGCAAAGTTTATAAGTGGAGTCAAGCGGAGTTTATATAATATAGAATAAATGCATATTGTGACTTGACTGTAGCTTTTTGCACCTTTTAGAAAACACCCTTATATGATTCCCTGTTAGTTATGGGCAAATGTGTGAGCCACCAGCTCCTGCTTGTGCCAGTGCTGTTCAAAAAGCAGTCAGCCTATTAGGGTTTAGGTCTTATTTCAAGTCCATTTTACCTTCTCTTTGGATTTTCTCTTTGGAGTATTGTATTTTTACTACTTATAATAAGGGTATTTGTTTGCTTCACACGTGGACAGTGAGGGGTTCTTTTCATCTGTTTCCTTTTTCTTCAGATATTCGACACCCTGATTCTGATACCAGCTTTCACAAACTTGAACTCTTTAAACTGAATAACCTGATCTCTGTTTTATACACATCTATTTGTATATGTGGAATTGAGAATCTTTGCCTTAATTATATATTTTGTGTACCTCAAATTACCAAGTACAGGATTTTTCTGAAAAAATTATTGCCCCAATATAAAAATTGGTAAGACGCCTATGTAATAATGTATTTAATAGAGTGGCGTTACATAAAGCATGCCTTTGATTGTTAATAGATTGGTTTTGCATCCAGTATCAAGTAGTACCTGTGTCTTTTATGTAAAGTAGTAAATGTAAGCAGCTGTTAGATTTTCACTGGATGTTTTGAAGACCTACAACTCCAGTAAGTATACATGTGTAGAACAAGCTTTGCAACTCATAACGCTGCCACTGTCATTGCTTGCATGATTTTGATATTAATCTGTGTTGTGTGTGTTTTTTCTCTCTAATTCCAGTGTCAGGGATACCAATGGTACGCCATTGAGAGCTAGGCCAATTCCCAGTGTCACCATAACATACATACAATGCTAGGAACACTGTATAGATATGTTATAGGGTTCACAGTATACATGATCTACCACACCTGGACCAGCAGTTGACTTCTATGTTTCTTATTGTGCAGACAGGCAAAATCATTCTTATATTTAAGGGCATTAGATCATGGTGTATAGATTTGTTGGTAATCCAGTTAAGAAAAGATTTCATTTTTACTGTCGGCATTTATCCACATTTGAAAACACATATATTTATTTAAATTTGTAGAAATGTAATGGTTTTGCCAGTCTTTTTCACATTACATATTTTATAAACAACACTTTTATAGTAACATAACTTTTTTATGCAAATCGGTTAGCAATTTTACAAGAATCATTTCATAACAGGATTCAAACACTTACCTTTATGCAAAGAAATCCATGTTGATTTTAAAATACATACAATTAAATCTTTACAGGGAATTATTCAGGGTCCTCTGTACGCATGATAGAAAGTAATTCATAACATTATTACACACATCGTAATCTCTCTGGTAACTTATTTCAGTGGAGAATTGAATATTTAATGACATTTGTTTTACTCAGTAAGTGCTTGCAGTAAACATATAAGATAATATTAGTAACTTGGATGATGCTTGGTGTTGTTTATGTGTGTTCTCATACCAATATCACAGGCATGGTATTTGTTTTCCAGTTTAGCTTAATTGCATTGGTGTAAAGCTTAGCTTTGAAATTTACCAAACTTTAAACTTAATTCTTTTTTAAAAAGTTTGTTTTGCTAAAGCATACTCATATATATGCTCTATTTTGCAATCAAAATGATCAGTCGCAGCACTTTTGTAGGTTCTGAAAGGCATGAAAGTCGTCACCAGATTGACTCTGTTTAAAACAGCCTGCTGTAGCAAGCACTATCCTTTGTTTCTGTATAAGAAGTGTTATATCATATAATCATATGTATCTATGTTTGTTTGTAGCATATGTTTAGATTGTTTGAATATCATAACCTGAAAAAATGGTTTAGGTTGGTTCTTGATGCTTTGAAATAATATAAATGTACCTCTGCATCACAAAACAAAATGGTTTCTCTGTTCCCATGAAACAGTTTGCTCCACTAAGTGGCTCTGGATATACAGCGGAAAGTGTACCACAAACAAAGCGTGGCACTAAAAAGACCAGTGGAATAAAAGTTTTACTTTAACATTTAAGTGCTATTAATAGGAAAATAATTGAAGTGCCATTCAAAATTTTATTTCTTAAAAAGTTTGGGATGCTGTGGATATAGTTTTGCTTTTCAACTTGAGTTATATCAATTTTAACTGATATAAAGATTTTCGATGATTTGACTGGCAGTGCAGATCAATGCATTAAATGCTTTTATTACGAGGATATATATGTTTATATAATGGTATTTTCTTTTTATTAACCTGAATTATTAGTTCTAGTTCTGAATGGTTTGCTTATACAAAATTTGTGTCAGACCTTAAGTAGAAGCAAGTATTAATGTCATTATGCCTTACCGGTGAATACTGCCCTCTTCTGCACATTTTGAGTGGTTTATACATTTAGAGTACTTTAATTACAGTATGTGTGAGAACCAAAACAGTACATACACCACCATTTATTGGACTTGAATGACAGTATTGAACAGACTTTTCCATTTGTGAATGAACATAATGGTCAAGTACTGGTTCTTAAAGTTTTTGGTTTCAGTACAATGTATGCAAAGTCATGTGCAGAAAAGGGAATATGACATCACTGTAATTAGTAGATGTATATGTATTGTTTCTGTACATAGGAAACCCACTGTGTTTAGTGTATTTGTGTGATCTATGGTATGGAATAAATACATATTCTTAGTTCAAACTTTGTAGTTCATTTGTCATACTTGGTAACTTTTTATTTAAAATAGTACCTTAACTGTTTATTTTTTTTGAAACAATACAAGTAACTGGAAAGATGGTAAACATATTGTTTGTTTCGTCTAACTACTGGTCCATGAAGGCTGCTCTTTTTTATGTGAATTTGATTTGATAGGCCCATGCGAACAAGGCTGGGATGAATACTTTACTAGAAGTTTTGTGGTAAAAACTGAGTTACAGTTCACGTAAGAATAAAAGGGAATGTGCTGATGAGCACTTGGCATTTGAAGCATTACGTTTATGAAAATATGTATTGAAGTTAACAGCAATGTGTAAGAATAGAATGTATTAAAGCATATGGCATTTGAAGCATTCTGTTCATATGTACATGTACTGAAGATAACACCACCACCATACTGGTAGATACAGTAGCTGGGATTCAAATGGAAACGGCAAATTTTTTTAGCAGATGGAATTCATGAAGGAAAATAATTCACAGAATGTTTGTTCAAGATTCAGGCTAACATGTGCAGTTTGTGAATTTGTAGTATTTTTTGTAGTAGATAGACTTGTAGTTTTGTGTGAATTTCTAAAAATTTATTTGCATGTTCATTTTCTTATCTTAAAGGATTGAAAATGGCATATAGTGGGTAGTTAGAGAGCAGTTTTATGAAGGTCTGATACACAACCTCAAAAGCAATTCTCATCTAAAGCTTGTGCATCAATCATATACGAGTATTTGATACAAAGGGAAAGATACCTTTCCCATTTAGCATCCACCCTTTACTAATTCTGTACTCCTAAAAATGTTTTGTGCCGCTGCATATACATTTGTAACACTCTTTGCCAAATATCCATGTTTCTGTGGAAACAAGCAAGATTAAGCCTCAGAAATTGATCAAGAACAGATGGTAGACAGACGAAAATTCCCCAAGATGTATTCAGCAGTCAAAGTACTTCCTTAAATCTGATCATTTATAAAATTTTTGCCTATTTTGGGGGGAAATTAATCCATTTGCCTCCCCCCCCCCCCTTGCATATAATTCTTTGAGGTTGTGCCTTAGATCTTTACAAAGTTGGAACCCTTCAGGAAAGGTCATAGCCTAACTACTAACTGCATTTTAGCTGGTTCACTGTAACAATGGTGCATAATAGGATGACAAGGCTTTTACACATGCACAATGTATTAGATAGTGGGTTTAGCTTTTTTCTCAACATTTCTTACATTTGACAAGCAGGATTCTGAGAAGCCCCAGAGAAACAGGTTTGCAGTCTTGATGACTACATTTTTGTGTGACTACATTTGGGATGGGGCATAATTTATGCTACTGACTAAAAATCTATAGTGGTTTCCTTTTATTGATTAACCAATCCTTTCTATTGTAAAACAGTCCAATTAGTAGGTAGTAGTAGGGGTTGTTGATGGAAAGGTTTAATACATTTTATTTTATATAGAAACCTCATAGAAATTTTAACTTTTTTACCAAATCATGTTACAAATGAAAAATCAACACGGAAAACTAGTGCTGTAATGGCAGGTAGTGACTGAAATGAAACCAACTGATTAGTCTCCCATTTCTTGATTGAGAGTTTGTAATTAAACAAATTTTACTTACCTTGCAGGTCCGTAGCCAGCAATTTCAAAAGGGGGGTTCTTTTTCTGAAAAAGTGGCCTGTTGCGGTGAAACCTTCATGTAACTTGATAAAATTTAACCCATAGGGGACCTTTTCCTGGCAAAAAGGAGGGGGGTCTTTACCCTTGGCTACAGGCCTGCCTTGGATCCAATGTTCCCAGTATATATATATGATGACTAACAATGCACGTGCTGGATATTTGTAGCTCATAATTTTAGTTTTTACACCTGTAGTTCTAAACAGGTTGATTTTCCACTAAACTGCAAGATATGTTTGACATACTCTGAGGGGCATTGAACACACTTAATTAGTGGTAAACCTTGGTAGAAATGTGTGGGTTTTGTATTTAATCTTAATTTTTGTTTGTTTTAGGAATGCTGAGATGTACTAACAAACATTTTGTCATTTTCAGCTTCACATTTGTTTCCTTGCAGTGGTTTGTTGTTTGGCAGGGTTTTGATATTTGCCCATTAATACCTCCTCTGTTACATTAACTGATAATTTTGGATGCAATATTGTTCAGAGTGAAATTTCGTTGTTTTTTTTTTGTTTTTTTTTCNTGCATATAATTTTTTGAGGTTGTGCCTTAGATCTTTACAAAGTTGGAACCCTTCAGGAAAGGTCATAGCCTAACTACTAACTGCATTTTAGCTGGTTCACTGTAACAATGGTGCATAATAGGATGACAAGGCTTTTACACATGCACAATGTATTAGATAGTGGGTCTAGCTTTTTTCTCAACATTTCTTACATTTGACAAGCAGGATTCTGAGAAGCCCCAGAGAAACAGGTTTGCAGTCTTGACATGTGTGACTTCATTTGGGATGGGGCATAATTTATGCTACTGACTAAAAATCTATAGTGGTTTCCTTTTATTGATTAACCAATCCTTTCTATTGTAAAACAGTCCAATTAGTAGGTAGTAGTAGGGGTTGTTGATGGAAAGGTTTAATACATTTTATTTTATATAGAAACCTCATAGAAATTTTAACTTTTTTACCAAATCATGTTACAAATGAAAAATCAACATGGAAAACTAGTGCTGAAATGGCAGGTAGTGACTGAAATGAAACCAACTGATTAGTCTCCCATTTCTTGATTGAGAGTTTGTAATTTAACAAATTTTACTTACCTTGCAGGTCCGTAGCCAGCAATTTCAAAAGGGGGGGTTCTTTTTCTGAAAAATTGGCCTGTTACGGTGAAACCTTCATGTACCTTGATAAAATTTTACCCAGAGGGGACCTTTTCCTGGCAAAAAGGAGGGGGGTCTTTACACTTGGCTACAGGCCTGCCTTGGATCCAATGTTCACAGTATATAAATATGATGACTAACAATGCACGTGCTGGATATTTGTAGCTCATAATTTTAGTTTTTACACCTGTAGTTCTAAACAGGTTGATTTTCCACTAAACTGCAAGATATGTTTGACATACTCTGAGGGGCATTGAACACACTTAATTAGTGGTAAACCTTGGTAGAAATGTGTGGGTTTTGTATTTAATCTTAATTTTTGTTTGTTTGTTTTAGGAATGCTGAGATGTACTAACAAACATTTTGTCATTTTCAGCTTCACATTTGTTTCCTTGCAGTGGTTTGTTGTTTGGCAGGGTTTTGATATTTGCCCATTAATACCTCCTCTGTTACATTAACTGATAATTTTGGATGCAATATTGTACAGAGTGAAATTTCGTTTTTTTTTTTTTTT